CGAAGAACGTATATATATATATATTATATTATAAGGTAATAATATAAAAAGTCGATGACATTCATTTGCACACGAATGTCGTTTTCTATGAAAAAACAGCTGCTCCATCATAATAAATCTGGTGATCGGTCGAACAAAAAGAATTACATTTGATGAGCAAAACAGAATACAGAAAATAACACATATCAACAGGGGTTTAATCGATAATATTATCTGCAAACGAAGAGCGCAACCTTCGTTTTGTCCATTTTAGCTATGCAACCAAAGAAAGCGCCATCGTACAAAAAGGAATCAGTTGTGAACGTTGAATAAAACAAAACCTCCGGACACTGCCTATACAGAAAGAACAAACAACACAGATGAATGGGTCACTTGCTTACGGACTGCAAGTTTTTCATGAACTCGCGAATTTTACTTTCGCGTAAAACGAAGCCGTATTCAAAATTCGCGTTCAAACACTCGTCCTTGAACTCCATGAAGCTTTCCATAGGGATCACAGATAAAGATGAGCATATCTTGAATATTTGCAGAAGTTGGTCTACAATAGAAAAAATGTTAAATTAATTGCAAATTTCACTGCAACACATTTAGTAGCATATGTAATGAAACAAACATTAATACAGGTTATGTACACCGAAGCGTGAATTACGGATAGTTATGCTGAAAAAGTTACGGACATAGTTACTAATACTGCCACTGGCGTTACTTGATAAGTCTTTCGCGGCATGACACCAATTTATGCTATTTATGCACACGTTTTGGATCACGATCGATAGATGTTTAGGGAGAGATAATGCAAAACAGAAATTCTTACAGTTTTCGGTATATTCAAGTAGCACCTTCGCTACGTAAGTGCATCAATAATGGAAACGTTGAGAATTCAGTCGAACTAATGTATCAATAAAGACGGTACTGCGGAAAGAAGTGATAAGTTTGCACACTCGAGACAACCACATTCTGAAGCTGGTACGTGACTATGGCGATTCATACCGCAAAATCTACTTTTTCACATTTTTAAATAAATAATTAATTATATATCACATATATAGTACAACTATTTTAAACTTCCTTGCTTCGCACAAGCTATATAGTTGACGATATAATCAAGGTAACTGCAGTCGGATGAAGGATCCTTTGTACTGCCAACTGAAAATATCCGGTTCTGGTGCGCATTCTGTAAAAAGACGGATGCTGTTTCCAGGCCAAAGGGAAACCTAACCGATATTCGCCTGAAATCGTCAATTAAATACTTGCTTAGCAGACTGGAATTCAGTCAGATTTGTTCCAATCGCCACTGCATCGTAGGCCATTTGCCAGGGACTGATTTCAGTGATTTGACTGTAAGTGAGTGCCGAGGGTTTAGTTACCGATATTTCGGTTTGTCTCACAGACTGCCTTCAGGCACCAACAGGAATCAACGCGGGCAACTCTACCGCATCATAAAAAACATCATAAACGAGGTCACCGAAACAGACCAAAACATCGGAATCCTGTCTTCCCGTATAGCTTCGCTTGCATTTGAAAACTAGCCAGAACTGTACCGTGATAAATACGTATTAAACCGGTAAGCTCTGCAGTTCAAACTACCATCAGTCTTACACAACGAGCTGCCATTAGTAATAACAGCTAAGTATTAAAGACGGTTCTTCAAACACAAATAACAAGTTGCCAGAAGGTACTGGGAAGATGACAACACATCCACACTGTCATTTAAAATATCATGAAATCGAACTTTATTACTGTGGCGGTGTTGCAGACGATGGTCACATTTTAAACTTAGACGTAGAACAGACAATTAACTGAATTAATTTCAGTGCCATTAAACATTTTTATTAATGATCATTCTTTGTGTCTTGGCGATGTCATTTTTCAGCACAAGCATAAGAAATCAAGCTAAGATAAATGTCAGACGTATTAAAATAAAATGTGCGTACCAGGAGGGCATGCATTCTCGACGTATGTCGCAATAAACTTGTTTAGTGCGCGAAGTTCGAGTTGCTGATGCCCCGTGACGTACCTCAGCAAAACTTTACAGTAATCCTGGAACGCCGCACAATCGAACTGTGGATTACCGGAGGAAGCTAAAAAAATACGGCTAAGAAAACACGAAAAGCCTTCACGCACGAAGACGACTGGCACAAAATTACCTTTCAAGCTTTTTTCATATATACCCTTCACTAAGGCATCCACGAACACGGGCGATTCCGTCTCGGATGAGAAATTTTTCTGAAATTTTTAATAAATTCTGGTTCGTTAGAAATACAAATCAGTTACATCAACAAAATCAGTTAAATTGCAAATACTAACAGAGCTCAATACTTAAATGATCACTTGTAAATTGTTAACTGGAAGCTATTACCTGAATGATTACAACGTCGCAAGAAAGCTTCTTACGTCAGATATCGCAAAACACTAAATATGTTTCTTGTCTGAACCAGAAAATTAACTCACCTATCAACGCAGTACTCGTACATAATCAGTCGTCATCAACATGACAACAAGTGGGCAATCACAGTAAATTATTTGATATTCAGAGAATTATCTTGATCGCTGATATAAACAGAACGTATCAGGTTTTTGCAGTCAGCTGCGTTCGCTATCCCACCGACTACTGTAAAGCAGAAGGAAATATTCCTCTCCAAACGCGAATCTGTCTCTACCCTGCTCTCCACGCTGCATGCTGCTTCATGGTCGATGTCTGTCTTGTTTCGACTCCCACACGATAAGGTAAAGCGCTGGAGTAAATGTTGTATGCCAAACCAATTTAATTTCTTCATCAGCGCCAAACTCCTTTTCTTAATCTCCACATCTATGCAGATCGCCTCTGCCAAGAACAGAAGTCCTGCCAGGATTGCTACCATTTAATCATCATTATGCATTGAAGCCAACGCTGCTGCACGCACTTCAAGCGCCGTTCTTACTCTTTCGTAAGATAAACTGTCTCCATGATATACTAAAACAATGACCTAACACAGGCAAGGTACAGGACGATTTTCGTAGGAAGATGAACTTCTTTCTTAGTTCAAATACTAAACGGTTTGCCAATATCACTGAAGGCAAGGGCGATCCTTTCATTTAATTCTCCGACCAGGTGGTGCCATCACTGCAGTTGAGCCGTGATCCTTAAACTGGTCTACTTCCGCTATACCTGTTCCACTAACAGATCAACCGTGTCTGATCTGATTCTCATAATTTTTTGCTTCCGGACTTAAGGCAGATGCCGAATTTCGCAGCAGTGTTGCGTACGGAAGCTGTCAGATGTCAGAACCCTTTTCCCGTAAGAGTACGCATGAGAATATCATCGGCATACTCCAATGCCGGTAAAATATCTAGCCGGATGTGTTAAACTGCTCTTTATCTCTAGAATGAGACCTTCATCTTTGTCAGGGGCGAATAGCAACAGAGAAGGAGCATTTCCCTTGAAACTACACAATTAACACGGAACTTCTCAAATAGTTCTCCTTCAACATTGACAGCAGGCATGTTTGGCGCATACGTTCATTTAAAAATGAAAACCCCGTGGTGAATCAAATGCAAACTCAGCCGAAAAAAACTGTTGGTGAACTAAGAAACTAGAAAACTGAATTTCTTTCAGTCAATTTTTAGGGGATGTGGAGAGTGGAAATAAATTTAATATTTAAACTGATTTTAGTATTAGAACTTGAACTTCATCTTCCGTGAAAGGTAACATGCCAGTCAATCAGACTAATTCAACAGTACTGGATAGTAATGGTGAAAAATCGACGAATCAAATTGTGCCAAACACCTAACTTAATTGAAAATCTACAACTAATACCTTGCAGAAAATAAAAAATTTATGCAGTTTCTATTTTATGAACTACACTACGT